TGCTTAACGGACTGAGCCACCCAGGCGCCCCACTTTCCTGTTCTTTTTAGGCTTGAGGAGATATACACATTTTGTAGACTAAAGGAAAGAATCAGAAAAGACCAATACGTTAAAAATTAAAAATGAAGTGTGAAAATTATTGGAGCCAAATCCCTTAGAAAGGCAAGAGAGACTTCATTAACAATGATAAGTAAATGAATTAGCATGAGAAAAAAGGATGTCTTTTTGTCTAGAACAGAACAAGAAGGAAAGGTTTGTTTGCCATGGGGGTAAAAGATAGGAATCCCATTTCTGCTGTTCCCAGGTTTGGAAAGTCCTAATGAGAAAGGGTTGCAGTTCACAGTTCTACCCTGGCTGCTTGTCGTGCTGTCAGTTAGACCGGCATGTGTGGGACTGGCAAACGAAAAGTCAAAAGAAAGCTTAGCGCTCTCTGGTGAAGCAGGAAGGAATGTAAAGGAGGCCTCAGGGCAAGGAATTAAGAACTCTTCCCTGGCCTGGGCAGAGTCAGAACAAATATGAGTGAATCACCTGGAATAGAATGGTACCCAGTGAGGCAGAAGTGTCTCTGCTCTGAGAGGGTGGGTGGATGCCAGGATCTATGCAAGAAGGACAAGGTGGAAACAAAATCAAACCAATAAAATGATTAAAAGGTAGAGAAATTAAATTAGGATTAAATTGTTTGGAATTATCAGTATCTTCCCTGGCCAGGTGGCAGCGAAACCTGAGAGAGGGAAGCCTCCTGGCCTTTAGGAGAAAGCTAAGTGGGGAGAAAGATGGATATAGTGTGCAAAGATGAAAAGGTTCTAATAATTTTGTTACTTCTCACTTGGTGTGGTGCAAGTATGTCATCTGTTCTCAGAGGACTGCATTTGTTTGTTTCTTTATTTTTGTGGGATTCACAGTCTTGATTAGTACTGTAAGGAAAGGAGAAAGGGAATGAGCTGATTTTCTTTTCTCTGCATTTGGGATGATGCTTCTTTCTGGTGACCTTCCAGAAGTGACAAGCAGGATCGAACCAATTGATTTATTTTCAGCAACTCCTGTAGCTCTCATCTAGGTTATATTTAATTTTGGGTTCATTTTTGTTCCAGTCAGCACCAACTTCATTATCAGTGTTCAGCACATATCACATAACAATAACATCAGGTTCTAAATAGGAGGGCTTGAAATTGTGAATTCTGGGGAGCTTCATAGTGAGTCTTCCTTAGAGAAGATCTTCATAGTGAATCTTGAGAATGTCATAAAACGGGATGAAAGTTTTCACTTTCAGCTCTGTCTCTTATTTCAGCTAGGTTTTACTGATCTTTTGTAAGAAATGACTGCAGTTAACGGTCCCCACCAATGTCAGTGTCAGAAAATTTATATATAAGTTTGACAAGAGGAATACCTTTTGGTGTTTGTAAGTAGTCAATTCTTATGCATTATTAATGGTATCTTTAGTGACTATTTAAAATTCTATTGAACATGATATTTTTACTGAACAATATATGATGATATGATTCCCATTTGGTAGTTGTATAATTTTTTTTATTTAAGGATATAGAAATTGGGCTAATATGGGAACTAAATATATATAATCTATGAGTTGAAATATTACATAGTTCTTTAAAATACTTTGAATATATAATGTAGGAGGTGCTGTTTTCATTCTATCTCGGGAAAATATCTTCATGTGATTTATTTGAAACATTGAGCCAAATTGTCCCAAATTTATGGGAACATACTCTGTTAAAGAACATGGAAATATGCTTCACTATTTTAAACTTGATAATGAAAAACCATTCAAACACATACCAGATCCTCTGTGGATCTCATATAATAATTTTTATGGAAACTAAATTGTGGTATGGGAATTGAATAAAATTCTAAGCACACTTAAGGAGCTAATACGTGGCCTTTAGGAGCGTCTTATATTTAAGCACACTGCCTAATCCCCTTACGTAATGGAATTCCTTCTTTCAAAAGAACTTTCCTTATTCAGCCCATAGTTTTTAGAATCTTGGAAAACTTGCTCAAATAATGACTGTCTGCTCATTACTTATTTTTGAATGGTGGTAGCATTTTTCCAGAGAAGGAAAGAAATTTGTATTTCACAGGCTAAGAAAGTCTATAAAATAGAACTATTTTAGTAGTGTCATGGAATCAAATAGAAACCGAAAGGGACCTCAGAGAACGCTTAATCCTGCTCTCTTTTTACAAATAAGGAAACTAAGAGCCAGTGTGAATGTCACTTGCTCAAGGGTGACAACACTTTAGTGACATTTATTGTGATATATGTATTTGAATTTTCCAGTGTTATATCTCTGTATGTCACATAAAGCAGGATACAGGATATGAGTCATTTTAATCACCGCTTGGTCATTTTACATGTCCAACAGACACTATTCCTTTCTATCTAGGCTTATAGTACATTTTATAATATAACCTTTTTAAAAAATATTTTTTAAATTATTTGATTCTAGTTAGTATAAATAAGAACATTCTCAGTTCTTTATGAGATATGCCTCTCTAAATACACTTAATTATAGACAATTTAAGTTTACTAGACCTTCTAGCACTATTCATATCTTCTCCACCCTTACTTCCAACTTTTTTTTTAACTGAAAGAATTTACTGGTGTCTGACTTAAGCCTGTAAGAGATTTTAATAAAATCTCTTTAAGGCTACACCCTCGGTTTGGTCTTTTTCTCCTGCTTTTGTGACCTTTTGATTCAGTTTTTGCATTGAGACAGTGTCTTAATTTGAGAATCTTTTACCAAGCTAAATATGGGGAAAGTGTGTCTTATAACTCTGCAAGTCCTAGTAATACATGGATTGTCCCTTCTTCCTTTTCATCCCTGCTTGCAAGCGGATAAAATCTATTAATGACCTCATTGCCGCTGCTAGTGTTTATTAAATGTAGCTTATTAAAATCAGTTCATGCCATCAGAAAGAATGAATACCCAACTTTTACATCAACATGGATGGGACTGGAGGAGATTATGCTAAGTGAAATAAGTCAAGCAGAGAAAGTCAATTATCATATGGTTTCACTTATTTGTGGAACATAAGGAATAGCATGGAGGACATTAGGAGAAGGAAGGGAAAAATGGGTGGGGGGAATTGGAGGGAGAGATGAACCATGAGAGACTATGGACTCTGAGAAACAAACAGGGTTTTAGAGGGGAGGGGGGAGGGGGGGATTGATTAGCCCGGTGATGGGTATTAAGGAGGGCACGGATTGCATGGAGCACTGGGTGTTATACGAAAACAATGGATTGTGGATCACTACATCAAAAACTAATGATGTATTGTATGGTGACTAACATAATATAATAAAATTTAAAAAAAAATCAGTTCATACAACCAACATTCTTTATCCATATCTCTTGTCCCCAAACCCCAACTGCATTGTGTACATTTTCCGCCTTCCAAGATATCACACACAAATAGTTTTACCAAATGTTTTGTCTCTGCCTAACAAACAACATGCTGTCATTTCTCTCACCTCTTCTAACAGGGTCCTCTCAACCATCTGCCCATCCCTGCAGCCATTGCCACACATTTTAGGATTTTGTTTTACACATACCACCTCAGATTTTATTGTTCTATCAAACAGGTCTAATATCTTAAGGCTTACAACAATAGACATCATTTCTTACTCACGCTACTTGGATACATGGGTCAACTTTTGCTCTGGTCGGCTCTTGGCTGAGCTTCAAACATATTCTCATTTTCACGGATCTAGGGATATGTTTTCATATTAGAAGGTAAGGGTTATAGGTATAGAGTCAAAACATGCAAACATACTTTAAGGTGATTCTTGGATATGGCCTAAACTTTATTGGTTTATATCCCATTGACAAAGCATGTCCAAAGTTAGTGGGAAGGGAATATATTTTGCCTACAGAGAAGCATGGCAAAGATCGGTAGACCAGGACAGATACTTATGAATAAAAAATATAATTGTCAATTGAATTCTCTCATAAATGTATAGTAGAAGAAACAACCATCAACTTGATTAGGTTCCTAAGAGTTCCACAGCCCTTCCCTTCTAAATTTTATAATCCTGACTGCTGATACCATTTCCCTGAATCCACTGGATGCTTAATTTTCTGTGGGCTCTAGCTTTTGTTTCCTCTTCCTATTTTGGCAATTACCAACCAATTGAGTGTCTCCTGGAGTCTCTGGGGAGGGACCCAGCTGAAATGGGGGGAGGGAGGGCAAAAATCCCAAGCAAGTGACTAAAAGTGAAGCAAGGATTGGAACAGGTAAAATCTAGTAGGATGGAGAAAGGGTGGCAATATATGAATGCCACCAGCAGTCCATGATTGCAGAGTAACATGAAGATGGTAGGACGTGTGCAGTGCTCAACTCTGAGAGCCCCGTCCTAGAGTGAAACCACTGCTGCAGATAGACTCAAAAACAGATACTCGACATGATTGAATTTCAGTTTCATTGTCTGCAAGATGGAGACAATAACTACTACACAGAATAGAAAAAACACATGTCAGAGTGTCAGGTGTCTTAATCAGTGATGTTTACTTGTAGCTTCAGAGGCAATGTTATAACATTTTAACAAATGTTATTTATGTGGGTAATTGATAATCAGCAAATGTCATTTGTATCTAAATTGATGCATGGAGACCATCTCTGGGTATCTTCTCTACAACTTATAGAAAAGCCTCATAATTTCATTTAGATATAACTAAAAACAAAACAATATAAAACAAGACAAAAAGGAAACAAAAATGGAGGTAAGATCTTTAAAAATATAGCTTCCAGTTTCACTGTATTACTTACAATAACCATATTTGAATTGGTTGTAGATGAGTTAACCTATTTTTCAAAGCAGACATAAACCCCAAAATTAGGGCAAATAATTAGATGTGTAAGATTAACTTAAGTTATTTTACATATTAAGATATTATAATGTTATTTCAAATTAGTATAATTAAAAAATACATTTTTTCCTACAAACCTCACTCTAAGACTATGGCCTATGTATTTTTTTTTTTAAGTAGGCTCCATGCCCAGCGTGAAGCCCAACGCAGGGCTTCGACTCACAACCCTGAGATCAAAACCTGAGCTGAAATCCAGAGTCGGATGGTTAACCGACTGAGCCACTCAGACACCCCGTATGTACATTTTTAATTCATCTCTTTTGTCACATATTTTGAAGTTTGCTATCATACAAGTTTATATCATCCTTTTTTCACTGAACATTATTTAATAAATATTTCCCATATTATTACACAATTTTCATAATTATCATTTAATATATGTATAACAGTCTGTCAAGTGAATGACAGTAATATATTCACCCACTTCCCAAGTTTGCGCATTAGGTTGTCTATAGTTTCCCCATACTATAAACATGATTCAAGGGAGAGAGGAGGCAGGGGTTTTAGAATCATGAAACTATGCTGACAAGGCATTGGGTGACAAAGAGACATGTCATAGATGGAACTAAATGTTTTCAGGATTCTAAAAAGAGCAGTGCTTCATAGGAAGCTTCAACCACCTGGTGGGCAGAGGAATCAGTAGACCAGGGGAGCTTATCTTGGTGAAATGGAAGACTATATTACTTCGTGCCTCAGGCCAGATTGACTCACCTTGCTTTGCTACTATTTCTTAATCCTGCACCCAATGGTATTGTATTTTAAAGAAACTTCTAGGGGATTCTAGCGTATTTCTGAATCTCATAATTGGTAGCATGAGATCTTATGGATTTTTTTTCTTTACTCGATTTTTGAAATGGGCTTTTTAATAGAAAAGTGAGAAAGGTATTCTCTGACCCTGTAATCTTCCTAGAAAAATCCAGGAATTTTTTTTTTTAAACACCCCTTAGTGCCAGTCTATTACCTTCTTTTCAAATTGAAGAAAGAAACAAACACCAGAAAATCTTTGAAGACTAAATGCAAAATGGAAGACCCAAAATCTGTTAGAGAGAATTCCATTTTTTCCAGGTTGACCAGAGAATGTCACTGAATATGAAAGGTGAGAAAGATAATCTGAATGGCTTTCCAACTATGCTCCAAGGAATTCTAAGTATTTTAAGAGGAACCTTAGGGACAATTTCACGGAGGGAGTCAGGGAATGATAATAGATAGAGATTTAGGATCTTTATGACTCCCCCACCCTACCCGCCATAAACCAGAGTAGCAGGTTTGGGTACTAGGATTCTGAGTAAGACTTTATTTCTAGAAAGGATTCTATGGCTTTGAAAACTGTAGAGGGAAAGGAGAGACAGAGTATAACCACACTGACCTCTTACAATCCTCCCTAACTATGGAGCCATACATATTTTATGGCTCTGGGAGAGAAGACTATAAACGTGCTAATAGGTAAAATACTCAGGTAAGTTTTTCTCTAGACATGAAAACATATTTAAAAGTTTGGGCTGACTCCTCTTAATCCAAACTAGATTGCATACTGTTAATGCTATTGGATAATAATTCTAATAATTACTAGAGCTTTATTGAATGCTTAATTGATCACTAAGTTTGTGCAATAGTCACTGTTAAAATTCTCATTTTACAGTAGTGGAGACTAAGAAATTAAATGTCACATCTCAAATGTGGTGGAAATTCAGGGAATTCAGGGAGTTTTGACTTCAGACACAAGGATGTTTAACTTTTTTTTTTTTCTGTGCTGCATAGCTGTATGCTAATTCATAAGTGATAAAAATTCTTATTTCCAAGACACTCATTTCTCTTTCACTTTCATTCCTTTGAGGATATTTATTGAACACTACCAAGTTCTGAGAATAAAGTTAAATAAGATAGATTCTGTCCTCAAGAATAGGGGAGAGTGCCAAGGAAGTGTGATATATGTATTATGTGATATACGTGTTATGGTAAAAGTATGCACGGGGAGTTAGGATTGGGGTTACAGTTGGACTTCACAGGTACGGGAGCTGAGGCCTAGCTATACCTTAAATTATAGACAGAAGGTAGTCAGATGGAATTAGATAGTGGTGAAGAAAACTTCCAGTGGAAGAAATAGCAGGTGTGATACGCAGTGGTGAAACATCATGATAGCTCAAGAACTGTAGATAGTTGACTACAACAATTACAGCCAATTCTTGCAGTTGTGTTAAAGAAAAAGCCTAACCAGCAATTTTCAAACATTGTTGTACATCAGAATCACCTGGGGGATTTATTGAATGTGGTTTGCTAGGTCTCACTCGCGGAGTTTTCATCCAGCAGATCTGAGCTGGTGCCCTAGAATTTAGGTGTGTACCAAGTTACTATGTAATGCTTATGCTCCTCCACTAGGAGCCACACCGTGAAAACTACTAGGTAAGATCTAGAAACAGGGGCCAATTTCTTTTTACTGCAGTATGATTAAAATTTAGCTAACAGGAAAAAAAGCATTAAAAAAAAGACATGAAAATCCTATATGTAGTACAAATAGAACTATCTGCTACAACTCACAACCAAATTAATATATAAGGGAATATATATTTGCATACTAAAGTTTTGTGTTGGGCATTTTTGTAAAGATTAATAGAAAACTAAGATATACTCATTATAGAACATTTAAACATTTCAAAAACATATGAATTACATGTCACCTCTTTCCAAAGGCACCAGCTGTTAATAGCTTTTCACATGTACCTAGAAGACTGACTTGTGGCTACGTGGCTTCATGCTCTGCCTCCATTTTCATACCAGTGCCTCCTCTCTGTGTTTTCTCTTCTGCGTGTCTGCTCTAAACCCCCTTTACCTCTCTTTTATAAATATACCTGTGGTTGCCTTTAGGGACCACCTGGATAGTTTAGGATCAGCTCCTCTTTCAAGATCCTTAACTCAGTCACCTCTTTTGACATAAGCCTTGGTCTGTTGGGGCTGCTACAGCAAAATACCATAGGCTGGGTGGCTTTCTGAAGGCTGGGAAGCCCAAAATGAAGGTGCCAGCAAGTTCTGTGTCTGGTGGGAACCAGCATCCTGGTTCATGGATGGCCGTCTTCTTGTGCCCTCACATGGCAGAAGGGGTGAGGGAAATCTGATGGGCCTCTTTCATAAAGGTATTGATTTCATTCACAAGGGCTCCACCCTCATGACCTAATTACCTCCCACAAGCCCCACCTCCAAATATCACATTGGGGATTAGGTTAGATGAATTTTGGGAGGATACAGCATCAACTCAAAAGTCTAAAATCCAAAGTCTCATCTAAATATCAAAATTAGATATGGGTGTGACTCAAAGTATGATTCATCCTGAGGCAAATTCTTCTCTAGCTATGAACCTGTGAAATCTTCCAAAATATAATGGTGAGACAGGCATAGGATAGACGTTCCCATTCCAAAAGGGAAAAATAGGAAAGAAGGAAGGGGTTCCAAGTAAGTCTAAAACCCAATATTAAATCTTCAGAGCAAACAGCATTAAATCTTAAGGATCAAGAATAATCTTTTATTAGATGCTCTGCCTTCTGGACCCACTGGGCTATGGTCTCATCTTTGCAGCTCTCACAGTTAGTGTGAACAGTCTCAGGGTTCTTGGGGACAGCCCTGTCCCCAGGGCTCCATTGAGCATCACCCTCGTTGGGGCTCTCTGCAGTAGCCCTATCCCTGCAGAAGTATTGTGCCTGGGCTCTGCCCCACCAGGATGGGGTCTTATATTCATGGCTGTCCTTAATAGGATTCTGATCCTGCAACCCTTCCAGGCATCTTCTGGAATCCAGGTGGAGGCAGCCATGCCCCCACGGCTCTTGCATTCTGCATACTGACAGAGATGGTAGAGGAGTGTGGATACCACCAAAGTTTGCCTCCTGTGTCCTCTAGAGCTACACCTGGGGCAGCCAAGGAGCTCAGTTCTGGAGTGCAGCGAGCAGAGCCCATGATGTGAGGCAGCACTGGACAATGCACCCCAAGGTCCCACCTTTGACACCACCTTCAGGCAGCCCCACCTTTGAAACCATTCTGCCCCCAGGGCCCTAGCACTGTGGTCCTGTGATAGAAAGGGCAGCTCTGATGATTTCTGAATTGTCTTCGGGTTGATTCTTCCTTTGTCTTCAACAATAGCCCCTGCTTCTGTTGAGATGGCTAATTTTACCAAACAGGGTTTTGCCCACACTTTGAGTATTCTCTTCTGACTACACGTTCTCATCTCTTCAGTATGGATCGGCTGAAAGTTCTCCAAATCTTTAAATTCTGCTTCCTTTTTGATTAAGAGTTCTACCTTTAAATCATTTCTTTCTTCTGGCATTTTACTATGAGTCAGGAGGAACCAAGGCCACTCCTTCAACACTTTGCTTAGAAATAACTTCAGCTAAATATCCAATTTCATCACTCACAAGTTCTTTGGTAGAGCTAGAAGATGAGCACAGTTCAGCCAAGTTCTTAGCCACTTTAGAACAAGGATTGCCTTTCCCTCACCATCTAATAACACGTGCCTGATCTCCGTCAGACCCCACCAGAATGGCCTTTACCCTCCATATTTCCACTAACATTCTGTTCAGGATTAACTTTGGTATTCTTGAAGAAGACTCAGGCTTTCTTTACAGTCTCCTCTTTTCTTAATTGCTTGTCACCAGAGTCACCCTAAATAATCTATTTATGGTAATAGCACTTTTCTCTCATGCACCTCAAAACCGGTCCAGCTTCTCCCCACTACCCGGTTTCAAATCCACTTTCACATTTTTAGTTGTTTGTTATGACAGCCTCCCCCTCCAAGTACCAATTTTTATGTTAGTTTGTTAGGGCTGCTGTAACAAAATATCATACACTAGGTGGCTTGTAAATAGCAGGAATTTATTTCTCTCAGTTCTGGAGGCTGAGAAGTCTAAGATCAAGGTGCCAGCAGATTCAGTGTCTGGCTGGGGCCCTTTCCTGGGTCATAGACAGCCATTTTTCTTTTCTTTTCTTTTTTCTTTCCTTTTCCTTTTCCTTTTCCCTTTCTTCTTCTTCTTTTTTTTTTCCAAGTGGGTGTGTAGTTTTTTCTTTAATTATTTTTAAGGTTTTATTTATTTATTCTTATTATTATTTCTCAGAGAGAAAGAGAACACAAGCAGGGGGGAGTGGCAGGTAGAAGGAGAAGCAGACTCCCCGCTGAGCAGGGAGCCCGATGTGGGACTCAATCCCAGGACCCTGGGATCATGACCTGAGCCGAAGGCAGATGCTTAACCAACTGAGCCACCTAGGTGTCCCCAGAGACAACCATTTTTCACTGTGTCTTCACTTGGCAGAGGGAGTATGGGAGCTCTCTGGGTCCTCATTATAAGGGCACTAATCCTATTCATGAGGGCTTCACCCTGCTGACCTAATTGCCTCCTAAAGGCCTTACCTTCAAATACCATCACAACTGGGGATTAGGTATCAACATACGAATTTTGAGGGAACACAAACACTCAGTTTCTGGGACCCTTTAAGGTATATTGCAGGTTCTAGGGATTAGGACATGAGCAAATCTTTTTCAGGGCCCCTATTCAGCCCACGACAACTGCTTTTACACACTTAAAGTATAGTATTAGAAATCAGGAATTGTTTGGTGTGGGATATCTATTTCCAATTGCTTATAAATATGTGCTGACTTATTTTTTTTAATTTGCCCATTATAAAAACGTCTTAGTTAGTTTGACCTTTATTATCAATTAGCATTCTCAGAGTCCTTTTAACTACAGCAGTAGTTCACACCTAAAAATAGGTTTTGTGTTACTGACATTTTGTGGGCTATCCACTATTGATATGTCTCTTGTCTAGTTGTCGAAGTAAATCAGTCTATAGGATTTAAAACATGGTCCATCTGGAAGAATAAAATAACCTCTCAGGATTAGATTCCAATTTTAATTCAATTACCTGTTGGAAAAGAGAGGATTTGATTCATTTTAATTCCTGTTACAAAACTGGGTGAGTTGTCATCTAAACTTAAACATTGTACATTAATTTGACACTATTGTATCTTTTTGTATAAGAAAAAGGAAGTAGAAGGCATAAAGACTAGTTCATTATTCTTTAAGGAACATAGTAATTCCTTTAGATGAAAACATAGCCACTTTATAGGTAGGATGTGAAGAACAAGTCATGCTTTATCTACAGGCTATCTAGATTAATTTATAGTCAAGTTGATAGTCTCCTAACATCCATTGATTTAATTTGGGATTTAATTTGCTGAGTACATTATTTCTGGACTATGTTTTGAAACATAAACTTCTGCATGGCTTAGACTATTGATAAGGGTTCATAAAATTGATTCATCCTGATTTAGATTCGGGTAGTTGATGAAATAATTATTCACAAAGTATCTAAAGGAAATTCTGATATTCTGTACAACTAAGTGAGAAAAGACCTTAAATATAACACTAGAGTCTCACCATTGATCATCACTAATAGTTTTATTATTTCTTTGTCCTACATCTTCCTCTCCTTAATCAACCCATATTGATTTCTAGAAGATGAGGCAAGGTTTGGGGCTTTAGCACATCCCACCACGTAAGTGTTTTAAAAACACTTGAAATAGATAAATGTTTTCAGTAGTCATTAAGTCACCCTTTTGTCAATGACAATGAATATCTCAAAAAAATTATAGACAGCGTAGATGTAAATAAGGTGAAATAATGATGAATTTCTAAAGACTTTGAGGGATAGTTGGAGTTTAGAATTACAAAGAACAAATATTTGAATTCTGGTGGACAATACAGGCAAGGATATGTGTAAGAGTTGAAATTTGGAAATTCACCATTGGAAATAAAACTGAAGGAGTATATTTATGAGCAGAAAGAGCAGGCTCTAAGGTGCTGTGTTAAAGTGGAATCAGTAACAATGGGCCTAACAAAAATACTAGTCTCGGTACCAATTTAATCACTTACTGGACTTTACACTTTGGAAAAATCACTTTGCACCTCTGATTCTTTATGCCCTCATCTCTAAATATGATTAAAAACATCACTTCCTCTTCATTCATAGGCTTATGATAATTAATTGAATCTTTGGAAAAAAGTTAAGCATTGTTTTTTTTCGTGAATCCTGTTATAAGTAAAAGTTATCATGAAATAAGTGGCATTATGCAAACTGCCAAGGAACCAAATTAGCTGAGAGCATAGTCCAACTTCTAGCTGTAGTGACTAACACAGGTTTTGTAGGGACAAATAAACTTTATGCCTCCTTGGACTTCAGGAAGCAATCTCCAAAATAGTTGCTTTCCCAAATTAAAGGAAAATTTTCCCATATTCTTAAGGATTGTTGATCTACTGTTTTTTTTTTTTTTTTTTAGTAGGACACACAATTCTAAAATAATTCTTTTCATTTTTAAACCTAAAGACCAGTATATGGATCGTATGAATATATTTGCATAAACATATATTAAAATATGATAGTTTAATAGGTGTAGAGAAAGGGATGTAAAATAGATTAATATAACTACCAAGCAGGAAGTTATAACTTCTTGGATTTTTGGCCAATTTAGTGAAAAAAGCCATGGGTATGGGTTGGTCTTTCTATAAGAAAATAGGCTAGTCAGGTTAAACCTTTCTATGAAAGGTTTGTAGAAATGTTGGAGAGCATTTACAATGTGGACTTGTCAAGATCTCTTGTTGTGGCCTCTACGCCGACCTCCATAAAGCATGATGATAATTAAGTATAGACTGGAAGGTCAGAGCCCAATTTTCAGAAATGCCTCAGGCTTTCCACTGAGGCTTTGCCCTGAACTCAGGGCATCTCTGTCTGCCAGAGGAAACTGACAGAAAATGTATTTCTTCAAAATATATAAAGGATTTTCTGCATTTGGATGGGCTGGTTATGTGTAGTAGGATGGGGCTGCCATCCCTGATTTACCTGGCTTTAAAAAGTACCAAGGTTCCCAAGACTCCTGGTAAGACCAGAACAGATGTTTCTTCTCTCCCCTGTTACCCCAGACCTAGGTGACCCATTTAGCATAAACTCTATTCTGAGCACAAGTTAAAACTTTAATTTCAGGGGCGCCTGGGTGGCTCAGTTGGTTAAGTGTCTGAACCTTGGTTTCAGCTCAGGTCATGATCTCAGGGTCCTGGGATCGAGCCCCGTGTGTGGGGCTCCACGCTCAGCAGGGAATCTGCTTGAGATTCTCTTCTTCTCCCTTTACCCCCTCCCCGCGCTCCAGTTCTCTCTCTCTAAAATAAATGAATAAATCTTCTTAAAAAACTTTAATTTCAGCCTTATCTATTTCTCAGATTTTATTCATGACTTTATAATTCCCTGATTAATCATTCTAGTCCCTACTCACAGTTTCTCACTGACTTGGCAACTAGATCACAGTCTTTCCTCATCCTCTCATACACATCTCATTTAGCCTGGTGGCTGCATTGCCTTTTTCAACACTTTAGGATACATGGCCCTACATGCAAAGCAGGCAACTGGTTATTTAATTCAGAATTGACTTTTTCTCAGCTTTAATCTAGGCAAAGGAATGTCCAACCTAAACAAAATAAACTCTAAGTACTAGCTTCTATGTATTCAGCACAAGATTTAAGTTGAAATGAAAGTATCTGATGTATTAGGAATATCTGTCACCCAGATCTGATTAGGAAGTTTTAATTCTAAATCAGAAGATCCCTAAAATGCTTTTAGTCCTTTTCATGACCAGTCTATCTCATTGTGAGACATATATATTACTGATAATATTTCTTTTTTTTAATAAGTTAGCCACCATACATTACATCATTAGTTTTTGATGTAGTGTTCAATGATTCATTAGTTGCGTATAACACCCAGTGCTCATTACAAACCATGCCCTCCTTAATACCTGTCACCCTGTTACCCGACTCCCACTCCCCTCCCCTCTGAAACCCTCAATTTGTTTGATAATATTCTAATAATTATCTTTTAAACTTTCTGTTTCCATTGTCAATGGATAGTTTCTTTAACTGAATTTGAGAGTAAATTATTTAAATGAGTATAGGAAATTATTTGAGGGACAGCTAATGAATGCCAATAAATTTTCTTCTCATAATGGTAGATATGCAATCTAATGTTATTTATTTTTTAAAAAATCCTATTTCTTAATTTTATACTTACAATTTTTTTCTAATGCATATATGTTTGATCATTTTGTTCATACATTAACAATTCTATCAATGGATTGACAAAGAAATTTTGCTAATTATTAAAACACAGTCACAATATCCTGGGATAAATTAAAGCTCTAATGGGGCCTATGGAACTCAATTATACATGCAACCTTTGTTTTTTTCATTTCTTTAGATAATCCAGAGTCTGCTCTACCTCTCTCCTTTTGCACTAACTTCACACATCACTTCAAGGAAGAGTGACTAGACGTAAAATTCCACAGATAATCCAAAAATACCTGTTCAAGTTGACATCTATCAACAGGTAAAATTACACTTTTAGTTCCTGCTTTTCTTGATTATTTCCATAAATAAAAGGAAAGACACAACAGGTATAAGTTGTGGAAAATATTACAGAGTTGTGCATAGGAAGATAACATGAGACCAGTGAGTGTGTATGAATTGGATCTTGACTGTTGATCAACCCAAGAGTTGTTTAATAATGAACAGGTGGTAATCTTGGAAATGGAATTTTTCAAGGGTTAATTGGTTAGGGTCCACTCTGTAATAATTCAGTTAAGAGATCATAAGATATCAATTTATGTGGAAAAAACTAAACAGCTAGGAGATAAGGAAGTGAAGAGGCATGAATAGTGACTCTCAACCTGGAGTATGCATTTATAAATCAAGTCAATATGCTGGAAACAGATACAAAAGATTACATACAGAAATAAACTGGTGAAAAAAATAACAATATAAAAAAGGAGGATTAAGGAGAAAAAAAATAGCTCAATCACATAATCTTTTTTAAGGCCTTCAGTTTTCTATGAGCATAGATTCCTGTCTATACAATAGAAATCGCAACATCAACCTAGCTCATTAGTAAATTTCAGTATTCATATTCATAACATGATTTGAATATTAGTAAATTTCAATATTCATATTGATATGATATTTAATAGATTTAAGATTATTTAGAAAAAATTTTTTGAAGTGGCTGAGAAGCAAATCATCCAGTTGTATTTCTAAGTGTTTATAATAGCGGATGTGATAAAAGCCTCAATAGTTTAAACTCATGAATTAATAATGAAAGACAGTTAGGTTCTTTTATGCAAACAGGAAAATTGCAGAGAACTTCTCTACCTATTTTAAATTTCATTTTTATCATTTTTCCTCTATGAATTTCTGAAAGCCAAGTCCTTTAGTATAACTATGGACAAATTAGAGAAGTTTAATGTAGAGAATATTTTCATTCATAATCTAAAAAGTGCATATAGAAGATCACTGAAAATACCCTTGATATAATTTGACAGTAAACAAAAATTAAACCTGTCTTTGTTTTCATAGATATCTGTTTAGTTTTTTGGTGGGTTTTCTGAAAACATGCGGCAAAATTAGTTTTTATTAACTTATTTCCCACATTATTTTACCAATAGAAAATTGTTTCTTTTTCTTCTACATTTCAATTGAAACATATTCACAAATAAAATGAGAGTAGCAAGAAGATATTGAAAAATGCTGGCAGTTACAGCTAAAAGCTAAGCGAACAGCATTACTCCACAAAGAAACATTGATTTTAGGGAACCAAGATGTTTTTAATTTAATTTCAGTTGTGTGAAGCTATATGTGATCATTTCTTCTACAGGAGAGTGAGTGCTCTTATACCATAAAGCTAGCAGCTAAATGTTCCTAGGCATATCCAAAGAGAAAGTCCTTTCTTTTAACAAACTATAACATACCATCTATTTGTTTGGAAGAATTTTATTGCTATGAAAAAAATGCATAAAATATATCATTCATTAAATAATAGGTAGCACCATTTTGAGAAGTGCAGTAAAATTAATTCATTAAAACCGTATAACTTCTAATGCTACGGGTCTAGAAAATAGGTCCATGCTGAAATATTTTTAAGTATTCTCAATTATTAAAAGTAGAAAAATTCTGAAATATTTCTAATAATCTAATATTTCTAATAATTTAAAAAAAATCTACTATTTAATTCTTTAAAATCTATCAGATTTAATCCATGGTCCTTTTTATTTGTAAAGAAAATCTTAAATATTTGGATTAAGAAAGTATTCTGTTTTTAAGTGATGACAGCTCCATTTTTATTATGCTTGGAATTCAGATAGAGATAGCTTTTATTTTTGGGTTGGTACTTCAGTACAGATCTGAATTCTTTATTTTGAGTAGTTTTTATTTCCATAAACAAATTAAATGCTTCATTTTTTAGCCCAAAGCAAAGTTACATACCCCATTCCATTTTTTTGGTTAATTTTCTGAGTATAAGAGTATTAAAAAGTATTCATGAGAAATTATATACTTATAACCATAAAGTATTATTTTGGTGACTATCAAGAGTAATATCTGAAAATGGAAATAAGGTTTAAACTATTATTTCATTTTTTTTAATAGATTACTTGAATCTCGAATAGAGGAACAGAAATGCCACCACCAGTAGGCCCCCCCCTATACCCACCTCCCGATGGAGGCTGGGGCTGGGTAGTGGTTGGAGCATCTTTTATCTCCATTGGATTTTCATATGCATTCCCCAAAGCTGTCACCGTGTTCTTCAAAGAAATTCAGCAAATATTCAAAACTACCTACAGTGAAATAGCGTGGATATCATCCATTATGCTGGCTGTTATGTATGCAGGAGGTAAGGTTTCTGGGAATAAATGGAATTCCAGATTAAGAAAACAATGCTTCCATGCCACAGTGTTTTACATTTAATGTCTTGGTATATTAAAGCTCTGTTTTTGTATTGTAGGCACTTAAAACCAACCAAAAATATAATTCCAAATGAATTTTTAATAATTTTATTCATTCTGCATCTTGAGATACTCACTTCATTCTTTAGTATGACTAGAGTATTTGAATGAGGATTTCTTTGAACAAAGTAAGGTTTACTAAATTATGGAATTTCCGAGGGAGGCACCTTTCCATTTAATCTGGAATAAAGTCTATACTATAGTGTATCATTTCCTGCCATTGTTACAGTTGGTAGAAATGCTTTCATCCTAATGAGAAAGAAACTCCAGTTGCTGACAGTCTGTAAACCTACTAAGTACTTCACCTTCAGCTGCAAAAATGGAGTGTTATCATGTACAGTCTGGATCCATTCAAGTTCATGTGATCAAAATAATTCCTTACCTCTGTAGTACTCATTAAGTATAACGTTTTTAAAAAAGATTTATTTATTTATTTTGGGAGAGAGCGAGAGAACAGGGCAAGGGGTAGAGGGAGACAGAAAGGGAGAGAGAATCTCCAACCTACTCCCCACTGAGTGCAGACCTGATGCGGGGCTCTGTCCCACTACCATGAGATCATAACCTGAGCTGAAGTCAGGAGTTGGATGCTTAACCGACTGAGCCACCCAGGCACCCCTAAATACGACATATTTAAATGTAAACGGTTGCCTGACAATTATCCTGTTACATTCCATATTCAGTTGAGGGTAAGGTTCATGAGGGAGAACAAATCAAAGAACCATATCACTTCTGAATGCTTAAAAAATGTAATTATTAATGCATTATTATGTCACTTATTTTCTTTAAGTCAATCTCAACAGCAGACCAGATGGCCTCTACATTTTTTAAAGTCATTATGTAAAATATTTAGGTTTTCGAGTTTTCATTTTTCAACTGGATATTTGACTTTAAGAGACAGGTGTAGACTCAGAATACAAGAACTGAAAGAAATTATACAAATCATCTACCACAATTTCTTACCTTACAGTTGAGGATAATATTGCTCATAGTGATAGGGGTATACCATTAGCAATAATATCCAATATTTATTAGTATTTACTTTCAGCTAAGTCCTCTCTAAATGCTTGCTATGTGTCATATGATTTAGTCCTCTTAACAATGCGTGAGATAAGTATTATTTTCTCTCCATTCTATAAATGAAGAAATAGAGACATGGAATAGTTTCCCAAGAACAACAGCTTATTAGTGGCAGATAGAAATCGAGACTCCAGATACTGAGTCACTGTGCTCTTCTGCCTTTCTCATATCTTCCTCTTTACTTCTAGAAAGTGAGAGAGCCAGATCTAGGCCAGGCCTTCTACAGACCTGATTCAGGTTCTACCCCTACCAAGGTCATTTGTCAGTGACAAAAACATAATATTTAATCTACAGGATATTGTTTCTTTATGGTAGTACCAAGGTAAAAATGTGATCCTCCAATGATCCTCTGTATGTGTGTGTGCACACACATGTGCATATTGTTATGTGTTTTCTGCTTTCTATATGTCAGTGATTTACATTAATCCAGTATGTCTCCCTTGACGCTTTTTAGTTAGATTAAATGGATGCATTTCTGTTCCACTACTGGAAGGTACCTTTAAAATGCTATTTGAGTGTATCAATGAAAAATTCTGTTTCTAACGCACTTTCTGAGTATCTCCTTTGGACAGTTGCTTTAAGGATTCTGTGTTATTTCTGATGACTATAGGAACAATAAATACCGTGTACCTGGTTTTGTTCCTCTATTGCAGGGGTTAGGTGTTATTTAATAATGTTTTACGAAAACAACACACAAGTCATCTTGTCCTGAGCTCCAAAATATGCTGATGTTAAGATACATAGTCCCCCCCCGCCTTTTAAATACAACTGAAACAGATTCCTCTAGTGAATTCATAGAAGTCTACTGAATTTGAACTATATAGTCATAATTTTATGTTGAACAGGTAGTTGACTAACTCATAAGCAAGACAAAAATTTGTATAACTTTTTTGTTAAGTCAAGTCTTAATTGAACTTAGTAGTTTAAAGCAAATAACTTCAAAGTCCCAGTGCCTCAAAGGAGTATAAGTTTACTTATTGCTCAAGCAATGTTTCATCTGGTGGCTCTGCCATCGCATGAGACTTTGTGGTGTTTCCAAAATCTGCTCCACTTGGCCAGACAGAATGAACGCAAACAGCATGGAAGATCATGTGGGATATTTTAAGGGCCAGGCCTGGAAGGGGTAAACAACATTTCTGCACATATTCTACTGGTCAGAATTCTTATGCTGCTCTACCTAAAGACAGGAGCCAGGATTGCTGGAAAATGCAGGATTCCTAGAGAAAGAAATAGAGTAGGATAGCATCCAGTAAGTCTCAGAGAGAGCTTGATACCCCAGCAATCATTCTTCATCCAATGAAAGTAGGATATACTTATAGACTTGTCATGGTCATATGATAGCCTTCCACTCCCTGGCTGGATCTACAGAAAAGTTTAGAATGAAGAATTACATAATTTCTTTTCTCAAACCATTAAATAAATAATATGTAAATCCCTATAATATGTATTTATTATTAAATAAATTTTTCAATTTATTCGTGTTATTTTCCTATTTTTAATACATATTATACATGTTAAAAAAACACAAAAGAGGGGCGCCTGGGTGGCTCAGTTGGTTAAGTGTCTGACTCTTGATTTCAGCTCAGGTTATGATGTCAGGGTCATAAGATGGAGCCTTGCTTTGGACTCTAGGCTCAGCTCGGAGTCTGCTTGTCTCTCTCCCTCTGCCTATTCCCTCTGTTCTCTCTCACTCTCTCTCTTTGTCTCAAATAAATCAATAAGTAAATAAGCACAAAATAGAACTCTTTTGAAGCTCATCAAAAAAATGGTAGCTTGGGGGCACCTGGGTGACTCAGTTCATTAGGCATCTGACTCTTGATCTCAGCTCAGGTCTTGATCCCAGGGTCGTAGTTCAAGCCCTGTGTTGGGCTCCATGCTGGGCATGGAGCCCACTTAAAAAAAAAAATAGTGGTTAAATAAGTAGTTATCAATTCAGAAAAAAAATACCTTAAAATGTTTAGGTAATAGGGATGCCTGGGTGGCTCAGTCAGTTAAGCGTCTGCCTTCAGCTCAGGTCATGATCCCAGTGTCCTGGGATCGAGTCCCACATTGGGCTCCTTGCTCAGTAGGGAGTCTGCTTCTCCCTCTACCTCTGCTGCTCCCCCTGTTGTGCTCTCTCTCTGACAAATAAACAAAACCTTAAAAAAAAAAGTGTTTAGGGTAATAGATGAAAAAATCTGTCTAAATTAAAGATCATTGAGGATTTTCTGCTTGTCTCAAGAAAACAAATGCTAGACACATAAAGATACTTATGTAGTAATTGATGATGGTAATATCTAGGTGAGATCCACTAAGTTGCTGGAATATTGCTTAGCGTCATTAGTCATCAGAACTGAGACATTTTGTTTATCATCTCTGGCCATGGAGAAAAGTCAGTAATTGTAGAAATTTTGCTACACTGTGGTCTTTCCCTTGAAAGTGGAAAAGCAGTCCTAGGCCCATGGCCCGCAGGAAAGAAATGTTATTACCTGCCATATCCACTGGTTAATGGAGAACTCACTACATTTTACATGGTGTCTTATCTTGATAATCTTCTCTTGATAATTGGTTTTAATCTTTTAGTAAGAAATAATTGGCACATTTAAAATTGTAATCCCAATATGAAAACAGTCCCCCTTATGTGGATGCAGATAATTTTTTTCAGAAACATAATAGCTATTTAGAACAAAAAAAAATCTGATAGTCTCAATTAATCTAAGACACAGATGTTAGTCCTATTACCAAAGTGGTAGTGTTTTTTCAAATGCAGTCCACAGACTTTCTGCTTCTGAATCATGTGTGTCTTGTTAAAAATGCATAGTTGCAGGTCTTCTCCCAAACCCCCTTTTAGCAGAATTTCTGTTGGTGGAATCCAGAAACTTGCATTTCGGCAAGCATCCCTGAAAAACACTTCATGTACAACAAAGGGATTCACTGTTGTAGAAGAAGATCAATAATTGATTTAAAAATATTTAAATTATCCTTTAATATTTAAAAGATCTCTATTTATAGAGGCCTTTTAGGTTGATGATTATAAAATAAATTCAAAGACCATAAGGTGAAAAGGCATATAGTTTAGTATGAAGTTTAATGAGGCTCTCTACCGAGTAACTGAAATACTCTGTTCCACCTAATGCTAATTACGTTAGCCTAGAGAACATCTAAGATCTGACACCCTCATTAGGGCTTAGCATTCAACCTATTAATCACCACGGTGGGGTCACTGGGTAAGATGGAGTGTGTTCTGAGGCCTGGCCTGTGATGTCAGGACTGGAGTCTCTTGTAGTAATTAGGTGGCATCTGAGCCTTGGTAGCAAGGTATTATCTTCCCTTCTGATGTCTGAATTAAAAATGGAACTAATAAAAGGTATGCAGGAAGGATGGAAAAGAATGCAAATTATGTTTATCCCTTACTTCATCCTTAGAATAATGACATTAAATTACAGCAACCCATCTGGTCATCCATATGGTCTCCTGGAGTTCTAGCAAATTTCAGCAAATAGGTCAAACACAGTGGTCACTCCATTAATAAAGCACTAAGTAGAGGCAGAAAACATTACACATTAAACTTTCCACATTGTTTAGATGGATATAGGGATTTATTTTATAAACAGTGATTACATAGGATTATCTTTTAGTACAATGTTTGTCTTTGTTACTCTATCGAAAGATAATGTGAACCTGCTTAGCTACACGATTACGGAATACAGATTTGGGGCTGCCAATCTCTGTGAGTACCTCATGTTATTTTTCTGGTGATATCTGTTATGACTTGGAAGAATCAGCCGTTCTGGAGGAGAGAGTTGGCTTTGTCTCCATGGTAACATATTCT